TATTCTCATACATCGTCTTTCGACATTTTAACTGTTCGACGTTGAATTTCGACAACAATATGTCTTGACCTATAAGTCTGTCGGCATTTTAGTCTGTCGACATTTTAACCCTTCGACGTTGAATTTTCGACATTAACATCATTTAACATTTTTATTTTCGACATTTTGCCTTTTTTTTTCAACATATTTTTTTCGAACACGTTCGAATTTACCATTTTCACTCATAATGGAGAGGAAATACATCATGGTTGGATTTCTAATCAATATTTTTATTGTTTTAATATCTTTCCATCATATCAAGGCAAATGATGCCAATTATAAGGCTAAAATTTATGAAATAGTTGGACACTATTTACGCAACCATGAATTTTCAAAGAAGCGAATGTATGGGAATTCGCCTGGCTACTACCCAAATTCAAATAAAATTGGGTTGGGTTTTAATCCTCTCAACGGCAGTCCAGGATGTTATACAGGTGAATATCAAATGGAAGGATTGGGTCATCCAGTATTCAAACTCGAATATCAGTGTCCTTTACCTTTTGTCTGCACAAATAAACGGATACCAAAGTTTGTATCCCTCGACTGTCTACCGTCAACTGTAACAAGTGCCAAAACTGAAGTTATTAGTACATTAAAACAACTGTATGAAAGTATTTCAAGTAAAGTTGAAGTCTCCGTTGGTCTCTCTTATAAAGAACTTTTATTCAGTTATACAAATTCAAAAGAGACAAGTTATATGGTTGATAATATTGTGCAAAATGATATGGCATTATTGTCTACATCAGCACAAGTATCTGTAGTTAAGTTATCTATGTGCGAACCACTCATGAAACTATCTGATACATTTCGATTTGTAATTGAAAATTTACCGTGCTGCGATGATACAGACGATGATTGGGAGACTGAAAAATATGTTCGAGATTACATACTTGACTATTACGGTTATACTTTCGTGTCAACATTATTACTAGGCGGTATAGTACAACATAATATTTTTATGAAAACTGAATCTTATAAACAACTTGAATCGCGAAATGTTTCTGTACAGAGTGCAGCTACAGTTGCATTCTATGTTTCACTTGGCGTCTCGGTTGAAAATTTACAATCAAATGCTGAACAGGAGGAGTTTAAGAAGGAAGTTCGACTTAGTTATGGTACAAAACTTGGTGGCGATCCATTAATATTGGATATAAACGAATGGGCAGAAACTGTACCGTCAGATCCTATTATAACTAAATTTGGCATAAGAGAAATATTTGATTTATTAACCATACGTCGTTTTCCTAAGGATCTTCAAATACAAAATAAATCAAAGTTAATTAAAAAAATATTACAGAAATATATTCAACAGCCATTGTACTGCTATAATAATTGTACAAATTCATTCCAGGGTACATGCGAATCGTCCGGTTATTTTCAATTTGGTACTTGTAAATGTAATGAAAACTGGACAGGTATTGATTGTTCGGTCAATATTTCATCGACAAAACCTAAAATAGTTCATGAAGATGTGTTGAGTGGTACACTGTGTGGATATGATAGATCTTATATATTTGTGAAGTGTGACGGTCACCGACCATCGAATGGATGTCCTCAGGGTTGGATTCCACAAACATGGATTGGTGCTGATTTTACTGTTTGTTATATAGCTAATACATCGAAAAGTAACTCAAGTATTTTTGGAGGCCTATGCGGTCTTTATAATTCTGGAGGTCAACAGTCCGTTCAGATTTTATGTAATTATACTTTAGATGGTGCGTGTCCCAATTACTCTCAATCAGGGTATTTCTCAGTACATGGTTCGTCGTCTGTTAACGGAGTTTCCCAACAGACCACTAAATTGTGTGTCAAGTTGATTTCAAATTACCCAGACTTACCAGGCACACTATGTGGTATACAGTGGGCACAAACAATTGATGGACCTGCATGTGATGGTTATAATCCTGGACTCTCTCAGTGCCCACCTGGATATGCAGTTCAATTGTGGGTCTTAGAAACAGGTGGTCGGTTTCATCTGTGTGCTAAACAATGAACTCGAATGTATTTGTCGATTAATACTTGAACTTTTGTGCTTCAAATTATTTTTCTAAGGCTAAAGCTACGATTGAAAGATGAAAATGTTGTCGCATATCACCGTAGTATAGTTTCGAAAATTCCATATAATAAAACTATGAATAACATCACTAGTCGTTTCTTTATTTAATATTTTTTTGGAAGGTTGTTTGTGCTACTTTGAAATTACATTGTGTTTCTAGCAGACACACAGAGGTCAAATACTATTGCTTGTAGGTAGGTTTTTCGGAAAAAGTATTGTTTTCTTCGGAAGTCATTGAGCCAGATTCGTGATAATGTGATATACAGTTTCTTGCTCATTATACACACAGAACGCCGAAAGTGACAAGAAACGCTTCTTCCACGAGGATTGTCACAATATCTTGCTTTCTTTATCACATATACTTTTGTTGACATTGTCAACCTTGGCAAATCAATGAGCTCATGAGCAAATACAATTGGCTTTTCAGTCAAAGCGTACTCAATAATTTTTTGTTCGTCTTATTCTTGGCTATTAGTTTGCTCATACTTACCGTTGATGACACTTTCATCAAAATCAACATATTCGTCCAAAGAAAGAGCACCAGAATCGGTTTAAGCATTGCATTCATTTTTGATAAAATTTGCTGCTTGTGATCGCTTTGCTTTTTAGTTTTGGCCTTTTCTTTTCGTGGTGATCTTCTCTTTATGAGTTGAACAATGCAAACGGTCATGCTATTGCATTTATGAGCATACAAGGGCTGAACTCAACTACACTTTCAAGAAAACTGATGACAACTGCAATTTCTTCTAGTATATCATAGCACATGAAACGGCACATGTCATTCAGATGATGAACGCGGTATCATCATCATTTGAAACTGCAATAAATAAATATTGACGATCTCATTCTGTCAACCGTGAATTCAGACATTGTTGCAACTGAGAGCGTTTGGTACACAGCGATAAACATTAAGCTTTTCGAAATATGCAAAACCACTGAAAGTTGGGTTATCTAATACAGCAGTTTATTCTCATCAAAATACGTGATCTCTTAACCGTGAGTTTTCCAGGTGCCAATAACATGACTCACCATGATTCAAAATCCACCTTTAGAAACTACGGATCTTATCGATATTTTCAATTGCTGCTTTAGTCTAATTTGGCAATTTGTATGAGGATGTGGTTGTAGAGCAGACTCATCCACGCACTTCATGCTGACAACCACTTACCCAGATGATGACACATACTTGACTAAGCGAGGAGTTCATTTGACTGTTACATAGTGAGAGAAATTAAGAAAAATTCATGTCTGTATATCTTTCCATCTGTTCTGACCGTTTCCACCAATGTTGATACTGCTAAGGAAAAACATCTGCAGTTTTCATTTATGAGTGTTACTGTGGGTATGGGTCGGATAAACGTATGGGTGTGTATTGAGAAAATTCACACTAATTCGATTCACATTCACGTCCTGATTTGTCGAGAACCTTTCTACTTGTCTTTTATCAGTTCTTTTTCGAAGAAAAAAATCTGAGTCAATTTAAACTACTCCTGATTTTATATACTCAATAAAAATATACAAGTGAAGTGTCTCACGACATTTTTACTCCTCCACATTTTATGTTTCGGCAGGGATGTGGCGACCACGGGGTGCGGGGTGGTGCGCACCAGCCCAACTTTTGAAAATTTTGTAAATGCATCCTCTCACGTTCAAAAATTTCCTGAATACAACCTGAAATTTTGAAAAAATTTCTTTTGCACCACGCCATTTTTTTTCTCTTCGCCACATCCATGTGCTTCGGTATTTTTCTCTTTGATACTTCTACTTTTGACCAAAGGTAATATTACCATATGATCCTTCCCCGTTCGATTATATTTTTGCATAGATTATTTTTCTTTTCTTAGCTTTTCATTTCGTTTTATGTGTTCTGTGTTCTTGTTACTTTTTTCCTTTTTTTCTCTGCGTTTGCTTTATCTTGGTCTCCTTTTTATCGCAATATAACGACCCACATACTTAATAGATTACAGTTAATAAAAAAAAGAAAAAAAGTTTGTATGAAAGATTATTTTACTTAAGCACGCGTATTATGGCTCAAAATACCAATAATGCGAGAACCCAAGCAGTTCTTTTTCACGATATTACTGTTCAAATACAAACCGTCGTTCTGCATGACATCGAATATTTGTTTCTGAACGATGTCCAACGACGATTTCCATCAGTGAGTATATTGTGCATCGAAGGTGTACAACAAGTTTTCGCCTATGACGAACACGGTAATACCTTGGAGCCGTTGCGTATTAAGGCGTGCGTTGGTCAAATTATTGAAGCACAAGAGTCTATGGGACATCTCGATAATACTCTTGGCGCTATTCTCTATCGCCTCGACGCCAAAGCCGATCTTATTCTTGCTAATACACAAGCAATTTTGAAACAGATAAACATTGTGATGACGCAAATGTATGATTTGCATGAGTACACCACACCTCGCTATTTTTTTGTTTTACCAGCGAAGCACTATGAAGCCAAATCAATTAATAAAATACACAACTGGTTTCATCTCCAATACAAGCTCTACTTTCTATGTGAATGCTCACATGAGCCACGTAACATGCATGTCGCACCACATGATGGTTATCCAATAAATAAGCCAAGAGAGTTCGTTATGCGTTATGGTCCCTATTTACGAACAACTTTAAACATCGCTAAACTTCTGCTCATGTTCGGAGGTTTTGCCATTTCAAAGATAGAAAATATTCCAACGGCTCTGAATCATACTCTACCATCAGCCGATGACTGCACAAGTTTGGCACACAACTTAGAAGCAGTTGATACTTTAATCGATAAGTTTCATAACAGACTGGCCAGTTCGGGTTCCTCACTGCTGGAGCTAGAGAAGCCACGAGGAGTGCCACTCGCGGGTGCAGAACTTCGAGAAATTGAAACATATCTTGACTTTGTTGACGATAGACGGAGCCTAGGCAATTTGTACCGGATAATTACTACTGATGGTCATGTTCGCTGGGTGTGCCACGAGCACTATGATGACATTAGCTTCAATAACGAAATGCATAAATACATCAGTGAATTAGAGGCCATGGGGGGTAAATGGAATCAGAAGACCAAAGAAGCAGTCTTGATTAAAGTGGATTTGACGAGCGAAAACGTCAAAATGCTTTGTGAAGCTCTCATAAAAGGCTTTAACATTGTGAAGATGGCATTTCACGATTGTTGCTTTTACAAGAAAGATCTCGACACCCTGCTCGATATCGCCATTAATCGCTCTTCGATTCGCTGTGTAAATTTGATCATGGTTAGCGTTCAAAATCGACTTAAAATGGTGAAGTACATATGCGAATACATGGTCACTGAGTTTTATAATCAATCAATCAAAGTTCGCTTCAATGATAATTATCAGGATGGAAATATACGCATGCTCGTTCAGCTTTTGTTGCAAAACAAGATCCATCGAAAATTAGATATTTGTGCATGTGATTTTCTAGAACATGAACTCGACCTTCAGCGATGCCTTGAAGCAAATAGGATGATGAAAGGATTGATTGTGGACTATTGTAACAACATCGATCTTTTGAATGTTTTGCTTAGCTTTAGAACTAATGCACTGCGTCAGCTAAAACTGAACTATTCGTTGCGTGTACCTTCGATTGCGCCTCATTTTTGTGAAATATTGAAGAACAATCAAACACTTGTCGAAATTGACGTTATGGATCAGACTGGCTTCGATGATGAAGCTTTTATCGTTCATCTTCTCTCGACACTAAAGGAGCACAAATCAATCAAACGTCTCAGTCTGCACGTGCGTGGTGTACAACCATCAAATCGGAAAGAAAATTGTCTGATAGATTCATTGAAAAACCATCAATTCATTGCACATCTCGCCATATCTGAATCAGTTATTTCTGGTGAGCTCACACAAGCATTCCTTTACGCTTCAAAAGAATGCCAGACGTTAATGCATCTCGAGTTATATAACAACCAAGTAGATGTCCATCATGTATCACAGCTGCAATCGTTACAGAATGACGGTTTGATTCAGCTGACCATCTCAGAGCTGCCATGCTGGCAGACGATGTTAAACAAAACAAATGAACGGTTTGATAAAGGTAAGGGCTTTAAGAGGTTGAGTCTTATCAGAAGCAAACATAGCGAATTCTCCCTCTATTGATGTCGTCTTCGTGACTAAATAAGCCGAAAAGAGGCAGATCATTGAAAAAAGAGGAGAAGGGCCGTAGAATGACCTACTGGAACGAGTTTAACAATCGCAGCAACATCAATAATTCGAACTTTTGAATAGATAATAGCTTTCTAACTTCATATCACTTAGTACACATTAGTATTGTAATGCTTCCTAATGTTTTTAATAGACTCATTTGATGAACAGAATATCTATTATTTTCCTATTTATAGTTAGATAGAATAGTTCTGTGCAACAGTCCAGATAGACTACTTGCTCGTCTCAATATCGTTCACAGAATATGAATTAAATCTAAACACTTTTGATACCAAAAGATGATCCTACCATGATAAACCTTTTCCCCTTCATGAAGAGTATCATGCACTCATATAAGAAGATAATTGATTTAGAAATTGATTTTTGACTTTTGTTTTAAAACAGATTTCTAATTTAAATAAAGCAAATTTTATTATTTTCGAAAAAGTGAGATAATGAGTCCAATAGTAGTTCGCTAAATTTTTGCGAGCAACCCAATGAGATTTCGATAATTTCTTTTGTTCATCCGAATCTGGTTGCGTCTCTCAGCAATCTCAGCAAGTCGGGACTTAGTTGGCTACACCACTACTTCAATTATTAGCACCTAATTTACGATTTAGAAGTCATTATTTATGAATCAATTAAGAAATTAGCATATTTAGAGCTCTTTGTAATGGGAATAATCGACCGAGCTGATCTACAGATTACTTGATGATTTAATAATCATCTTCTTGTGATTGAGAGTAAGTATGACTGTAATACTTAGAATTGATAGATATAGAGCAGATTATTTTACTCTAAGTAAAGCCGACGATTCTTGACAAAGTCAGAAGTAGCAAGATTACATTTGGAAAATTCTAAGCTCTCAAACATGACTGATGATATCTTTGTACATGTCATATTGGGAAGATGTGAACTCTCGTTCGAATATCACAAAAGTAAAACTCAAATGCGTGATGTAGTATTAAACTGTTCTTACATGATTAGAAAAATTCGAGCTTTTAATTAGCTGCCATCTGAACCATAAGTTCTTCTAGCGAAACAATAACTGGAAGAAACAGCCAGTATCCATATGTGCTAGGATCTGATGAAGCTTTAATCATGAGCTGTTTTCAAATTCTCAATGTTTATCTTGAGAATTCAGATTCATTTCAAGCAAGAATCTTATCAAAAAATATACCGCAGTTTTATGTCAAGACCTTTGTAGAATTTCTGCTTTGAGATTTGCACTTACTAGTCTATGACTTGTCAGTATTATTTTCAATCGTTCATAATACGAAAATACTTAAAAGCAGGATATTTTTTGTTGCCCGGGTATCAAATTAACGGATAAGAGACGTTTGATCAAGCTGCTTGCGCTACGAAAATCAGAATGAACCTGTGCCTTTAGTAGTGATTTCTTCCCCAACAAATCTGATTAATCACAATTTTACGACAGGTTTGTTCTAAATCTATATTATTTTCACGATATGAGGCAACATTTTCATTTTTTCTATAGTTTATCTAGAGCACTTTTCTCATGGAATCTGCGTAGAACAAAAGAAGGACTTTCAGTTTGCTAGCTTTTCATATGATGGCGATGTGCGACTGAATATCTTTTAAAACTCAAGTGAAATATGTCACTATTCGAAAGACTTCTTTTGAATGATTAGATAATTTTCTTTGAAGAGAGTAATAATTCCACTTGTCATCATCGCTGATGTTTGATGGGATAATGGATTGACCACAAAGTTTCCAAATGTTCACATTAACATTTTCTATCGCTGAAGCTCTATCAAACATATCTCCAAATGCCCAATGGATACAAAACGGTGTTACCATCGCAGGAGGTCAGGGAAAAGGCAATGAATCTAATCAATTCTCGAGTGCTCGAGGTCTCTATGTATGTGATGATCAAACTATCTTCATTGCTGAACAAGATAATCACCGCGTTATGGAATGGAGGCCTGGTGCAACGACTGGTCAAGTAGTGGCTGGTGGTAATGAAAACGGAAATAGAATTAATCAGTTGAATAAACCAACAAATGTGATTGTTGACAAAGAATCAGACAGTCTCATCATATGTGATCGAGGTAATAGACGAGTGATACGGTGGCCTCGTCAATGCGATACAACAAGTGGGGAAGTGATGATCGAGAATATCGATTGCTTCGCACTGGCAATGGATGATCAGAGATTTCTGTACATCTCTGATGGTGGAAAACATGAAGTAAGACGATATCCAATTGAAGAGAAAAATGGAATAGTAGTGGCAGGTGGTAATGGGCCAGGTGATTGTCTCAACCAACTCAACAGCCCTGGTTATATCTTTGTAGATCGTGATCATTCTGTCTACGTGTCGGACTGGCTCAATGATCGTGTGATGAAGTGGGTCAAGGGTGCAAAAGCTGGGATTGTTGTGGCAGGTGCTCAAGGTGCAGGTACTTCTTTGAAACATGTGTATGGTCCTCAAGGAGTCTTCGTCGATTCTTTGGGCACAGTCTATGTAGGAGACGCAGGAAATAATAGAGTGATGCAGTGGAAGAACGGTTCGGCACAAGGAAATGTAATTGTTGGTGGAAATGGTAGAGGACAACAAGCAAATCAGTTGAATTATCCCGAGGGTTTGTCATTCGATCTACAAGGAAATTTATACGTCGTCGATAATGGGAATCATCGAGTTCAACGGTTCGAAATTGAGGAGAGATGATGTTGTTAATATTTTATGGCTGAATGATAATAAATGAGATTTCACTGCTTCCTGTTTAGGATCGGACATTGGCTATTGTTGTCCACTCGCTTCTTCATATCATTCCCAAGTTCCGCAGCAGCCATGAATTTCTCATTTTGTCCTGGTTTCTCGTTGAGAGTGTGGTGGTGGGTGATAGAAAAGCAAAAATCACACCCATAACCTCGTGTTGCTTCCAATTTTAGGCAACTACCCAGTTTCGTTTGCATCGAAATTCCTTTCGACAAAGGCTATGGTCGTGTCATCATGATTTGGAGCTTTCCCAAAAACTATTAAATAGATTCAAAGTGATGTAGCTGATGGATGCATGAACTGGATTTCGTTCTATGTGTTAAGAAAATTGTTTGTGATTCAAAACAGGGTGAGTTAATCAGAAACTTCATTGACTTGACAAGTGTCCTTAAAACGGAAACCAAAACACAAACAATTTGATAATATTAAATAGTACAATATATTTCCTTTAGCGGATATTGTCTGTACATAAAAATTGGATTCATCCATTGAATCACGATACTAGCTTTTGCCTCTACTTGTGTAGACAGGCATGACTTAATACAAATTGACCACAAATTGCTCAAAACGTCGATATTCATCGGCAATACATAAATAAAAACTGAAGTACAAAAAAATCAAGAAATTGCATGAAATCTAGTAACTGAGATAAATGAGAATTTCAACTGTGCTGTGTTTCAAGTTCGAGAGGGACACAAGCGTAAAATTCATTGTCTAGAGAAAAACAGAATGCATCTGAAGAGAATAAATAAACGTGCATAAATCATTATCTTGTCATTGTAATGAAAAACGATAGGAGAGCGCTTATCGAAGCAAAGATGCCAGTTAGAAATCTTTCTCGTTGGTTGTACAAACGACGAGAATAGGTTTTTTTTTAATTAAAATACTGTTCGAATCAGAAAAACAATCAATTGTCAACGAAGGAAAAAAATATTTCTCTATAATACCATATTGATTCAAATAAGTAGTTCCTTTTCATAAACATAAATCTTGATTAGCCAATCGAATAAAAATACCCTATTCAACCCCCAGATTGAGAAACCCATTGTACAATCCACTGTTCATTACAACTATTCGAACTGCAACAATACCAAAACTAATCTTTTGTATTAAATGGATGGCATATACTACTACTTTCTCCACCAGCTTTGACATGTTTCAAATATCTGTAAATACAGTATTTTTATTTTCAGTTCAATAATCACATTTAATTTCAACCTAAAGAATGGAACCTAATAAGAGTAAGTTAGAAGAAATTCACTGTTATATGCAAAACATGTTTGGCCATGTTCACGTTGTCGTCTTTCGAGGTAACACCGCCAGTCATCCGTACAGTTTGTATTGCCATATGTATAACAAAGAATTTCAGCTGTGACTTTAACATCTGACAATGTAAAATAATTACGTACAAACAAAATTCTTCTAAAAGAAAGGAGGTACATCTCTCCCCCTTCATCTGGTTTTAATCTGTTGTAAAGCGCGCAGAGTTATGTATATCCGGTTTTTGCTTTATGATTAGAAAGCTATTTTAGATGAAGTTATAGAATTTACAAAATATCCATTATTTCTCCTGGAGGCATGCAGAACAAAAACAAAAAGGATTTTGAAATGATTTTACACAAATAATTCTCGTGAAAAGTGTCGGAATAAAACTCGCGGGTTTGGGGATTCATAATTCTAAAATGAAAATATTAACAAATCATACTTTCAAAATATTTGAAATTTTCTCAATAGGAACCAGTGATAGAACGTCTTACTTCCATCACTTGGGCAACCCTCAACAACATTTCTGAGAATACCTTCGCTCTCTTGTACTTCCTATGACCGGAGCTCAATTGAAAATGAGTAGAAGGGTTAGCTTGAGAAAAAAATGACTCACACCCCACTCACTCATCCTCCCGTGAAATTCCTGTTATCAGCTTCAAACAGGTATGTACCGTGTCTAGTTTGGTTAGTGATCATTTCCAATTTTTTGCTGACTACTGCAACACTTTCGGTGATAATCATTGCAAACTGCTCATCACTTGGTTAGTCATAACTCTTTACTGATAGGATATAGACTGTGAGTTGTGAATGTGGGTGTAGATGTGGGGTGAGATGTGGGTGCGGATGTAACTCTTCTCTTAGCTCACACCCTACACGCATATCTTTCGGTAATTATCTGTAATTTATATCAAGAAGAGTGTAAAGTAGAATGTCATCTATGAGATAACATTATTTCGAAATAGCAACAGTAGACTATGATATAGAACAATACAGGAAAACTTTTATTGAAACTACTGAATTCATGTATGTTTTTTTCACCGATCTCCTGCTGAATAAGTCACAGTTCTAAGTAAAATAATTACAAGTAGGGTGTGGGTGTAGATGTTCTCTTGACTCACACCTAAATCCATTATATCAATGATTTATAGATACAAACTGAAATGGATTCTATTGCAACAAATCAATCCACTCGAAGTCGATTGAACTTTTGTCATTATAAAGATGTCGCTGTGGCTGTGGATCAGCGTGTGGATGAATGTAAGGATGAGTGGTAGTTACGAGAAGATCACAACCACAATCACACCCGTATCCAAAATAGACTTTTGAAGAATTGTGTTAAGTATACGTAGTAAAGATTCTAACCCAATCGTGCAAAATGACGGTCTTAAGTGGCGATGATGAAACTATATAAGATTAGAATATTTCTTGAAAAACTCGTGAACACCCTCTTATCGAACTTTTTCTTCAAAACGAGCCCAATTATTTTCTATGTTGTAGCTATAGTAAAACTTCCAGCTTAACTAGTTGTACAATGGCTGCCACCCAAAAATGGCAAAAAATGCACAAGAATACATTAAGATAGGATATGGTAAAACTTGTGTATCCTATTCTATGCAAAAGTTAACTCAAAAAAGCTACTGGTGCTACGATCACATATTTATTTGAAATCTCAATGAATAAAGACAAAAACAAACGCATTTACTTTTGTTTGTATGCAGGTCGATTGCAAGGGCAGAAAGTCGTAATCGTACAAAACTCTAATAATATACAGCATTAATGTGGAAAATATTTTAAAATACTTGCTCAATTGAGAAACATTAGGTCAATATTGATAAAGCTATATGTTATCTTTTTTCTTCAATCTACTACAGAGCATGCCAGTATACTTTTCTTTTAACCCTTTGGCTCCCGCCGCCGTTTACAAATGTCATTGACTTGATCAGCGTCTAAAACCAACGCAATCAATCGTAGTGGACATTTTTTAGATTCACTTTCATAGAAACACGCATCAGGCAGTTGAAGTCTGTGATATCATAATTTCATAATGGTATGTTCTAGAGTCGTGACTTAAAACAATAATGTGTATAGCAAACAATCAGTTTGTTGTACATATGGTTATCTTTTGTTGCCTTTCTTCTTATTCAAGAACTCATTGCACAGTGCAGCCCCAAGGAGTCATATGCTGACAGACCATTGAGTGCTCTTCCATTGCGATTGACAGTCAGATATTTTTCGTCTCTAATTCGTTTGAATAAAAGCAGCCAGACTTCTCAAAGAAGATTGTACGTTTGCAGCAATACTGAACGATGTGTGAAGAAATGAAGTGGCACATGCGTCACCAGTGTACTGAAATGCGATACCGGGCTACTTATTACTAACTGCTTCAAAATTTTCCATATCATACAGAAGATTTAACGTTATCTCATATAAATTTGCAAAATTGAATCAAAATTAAATAGCTTTAGTGATGACCTAAAGAGATTTTTCTCTTTCTTATGTCGGTAGTCAAAGGGTTAAAGATTAAATGAAAGCTTTATGAGACTACTACTTCTTCGTTTGAGAACCTTCGTAGCTAAGTTCATAAGCATCCGTTGCTACGATCACACCAGTGTCATTGTCATATTTGAACTATAATTCAGTCAATTCTTTCAATAATTTCGCTTTGTCTTCTGTCACATCTTTCAATTCATCTTTGTTCTTCATCAAATTATACAGCTCCCATTTAGTCTTCTCAGAAAGTGGTTCTTTGGGATTATGCACAGCTTAATAATTTTCACAAGTTTGCTCGTTCACCGAGCAGCTCCTAATCAGTGAAATCTTGGCATTCATCACGAGTTCATTGATGACAGTGAAGATGCGACACCTAGGACTTTCCGTGAATGAGCGTGGTTCATAATGGGCAACTTTAATGAAGCAGGCGAACATGTAGCTTTTCTGCTCTAGCGTGAGTTTTCATTATTCAGAAGTGTTTGTATATCACTCTGAAAATCGACTTTACAAAAATAAAGCCTCTTTTAAAAAACAAATTCAGCAGAAACACCTGCGGGAATCCTTTGCTGATTTTCAAAAAACATTTTTTGTCAGAAAATATTTTGTGTCCTACATCATCCGACGCAGTTTTGCGCGCTGATTCCGAATATTACTTTGGTTTTGAATTACAATGGTACTGCGATCGAAAAAATAGGGATTTAAGAACAAAAACCTAGATTCTTGGAAAGCTTCTAGCACAGTCTGCGTCCGTTCCTATAAAATTGTGTCATGGCCAATGATAGATCATATATAGAAAAATAATCGCTAAAAGTTTGAGGTCAATCGGACTTAAACTGTTTATAGGCTCTGCAAGGTATAGCATGACCAATTGTTGGACGAACTTTTAGCTCGGCAATCAATTTTTTTCTTTTCCAATCTGAGTTCAATCAAACTAATATTTTATCAGAATGGAGTCCATAAGGCAATCGTTTTTTTTTCTGATAGTTTTTGTTCTCAAATATTTCAACTGAGTTGGCCACAAGAGTAACTTTCTCTTTAGATAGCGATTTATGAGCAAATTTATAAAAATGAGCTTTCCCAACGTTCTACTTGATTTTTGAAAATTTTACTTCAACGCAAGATAGAGTAATCCTAGGTGTATTTATTCTGACACTTGAACTTTGAAAAGGAATACTTTCGTTCATGTACATCTG